TAGAATAATTTCTGTGTAAATGGGGATCTTTGTTTTTCAGCCTAAAGCAGCAGCCATTTTGCGTTCAACGATATACACATTAGTCACAGGCTATAACTGGACAAACTTAACAAACCAAGTGGGTCTAAATGTAATTTATTTAACTATATATAATCCTAGTATATAACTAGTAATTTTTTTCTGAAAATGCTTGAAATGATAAATTTGAAAAAAAAAACGACTACAACATAAAATATGTACCTAATGTAATCCAGTTTCAAAACGTCAGAGAGATTCAATGTTAGACACATTGCTTCAAGCTGATAAATTATATTACAATATAATTTTGCACACAGATAGAGGCACAGCAAATATCGAATATTGATGTATGAGATTAGATCGCCCACTGAATTCTACATAAATGCAGGCAAGACTTAGAAACGTGTAAATTGTAGAATATATACCAGTGTTCTCCCCAGGCCTCTGAAGCGACACAGTACCGTGACGCTTGGACACTCTGCCGTGATGCTTGCCCTTTGTCCGTGACGTTTGATCTCTCACCCGTGATGCTTATGTTTTTGTTTACAAGTGTCAGTCTCGTCTCGCACGTATTTAAAACAATAACATGTATTGATTGAAAGGTAATCCCGCTTTTGTCAGTCATACAAAGACAGTGATAAAAACAGAAGTCTGCAATAAGTTGCGAAGTCTTTCAAGGGTGCAGAGCCTCCAAATCCAAAAAAATACTAGAGTAGCAATAATTTTCCCATTGTACGCAACAGCAACAATGTGACAAAACAAGTTACGGCGTACGTCGGGAAGATCAACCCCGATTTGCTGCACTCCGATTTGTTATCACTCAATCGCCGGTGACATTAATTACCCCAAAATTGAAAAAGAAAAAACAAGTGAAATTAAGTCGCATTGGAAAGAAAAGTATGAATACGAGACGGGTTAAGAAAAAACGAACTCTGACCTCTGGAAATACCCCATTCATAGGGTGCTTAGTACAGAAGAACGCCGCCCTGAGGCGACATAATGCCGTTGCAACATTGTGACCGATGCATGCTGGGTTTTCCCGCGACGTTTAAAAACAACATCTCGTTGGCGATTTCGAAGTAATGCCTAGGATAATCGTCAATGAATCGTTTTAATAAATAATTTGTGCATTTCACACCAAAAAGTCAGATACCGATGATCACAATAGCAGCGGTTAATACCCGTCCAACGCAATGTCATCAGCTGACAATGTTACGGTGATCGTAGTGTTACTCACAAGGTATATTGCAATGAAAAATCGCCGAACTGCCATTCTAGAATTTTTTTATAATTATTGAATTATTAATTTCAACATATTTCGATATCTCGCCGACTTTATAAATTCAACCAAAAAATGTTTTCCCCAAGTTTATATGAACAAAGTCAAACAGTGACATGGGCACTAAAACTTTTACACAATGATGAACCAGCTACATCCATGGATAACATTATATTCACTGACTGGCTATAACACAAGTCTTTCAATTTTTTTTTCTTTTTATGCTGTTCTATTTCAAACTTTATTCGACTTGATACAAAAACAAAAAATACAATGTAGTAAAATTATATAAAATTTATCAGATATAAAAATATCTTGTCTTTAATTAATTGTAGATTGACAATATTTGTTGAGAAAAACTGATTATTATGCAAATAAAATTTTGCAAATTGGATGCATTGTTATGCAAATTGACCGTGATGCTTGACATGAAGTCTAGGGAGAACACTGTATACAATAAATATATAAACTCTTACATTTTTTTTGCTGCCACTCAACTACATGTAGATCTTGAGTGCTCGGTGAGCTTGATGTAAAAATACCCACCCCGTACAAGATAATTCTAGTGACAGTGCAAAATATTGAAATCATGGTTTTAACTCCATAAGCCTTATTAGTTTGAATTCATATACAGTTGCCATGTTATCAAATATTTGATAGTTAAAATCCATGTTCATTTACTGAGAGTATATTACCACTTGTACCAAAGAATGAATATTGCCATGCATTTCACAGTGGTCTTATTTAATAGCTATGATTATTTAGCATATAGTATAGTGAAAAATAGTGTAACCAATTAATAGATTGAATTAATCTCATCAATTGAATTTTAGTCCTCAAGTAATAATTGAAATATTTCAGCTGAATCTCAGGCTGGGAAGAAAATCTTCTGCTATACAGTTGTGTTTGTGATGCAGCTATAACAAGCAATTTGACTGGACAATGCATTGAAGGAAATAACTCTGGTATTGCCAAAGAGGGCGCTCTTAAATATACGTTGGCTATATAGAATCTACAAAGGTGTAGTGGAGAGGCGATTACCGAATTATCAAACCTTGGCTGGTGAAGACTAAGTTGACTTGGGAAATATCATTGTAAGTTCTATGATGTCTGTCAATCATTCTGAGATATGAAAAAAAAAGTAATCCCAAGTAACCCCATACATGACAATGGAGTCCGTCAACAACTGGTCACTCAGTAGGTTGTCCACTTTGCAATTGCATTATAATGATTTATTTAAATGTTTAGTGTACAACAAGGGTATGCCCAAAAAATTATGTTAGTGTCAGCCATGTTTTCATCAAAACAGGTGACTTAGGGAATCAAAAGGGGGTCAACTTCTCCAGATTATAAACATGGCACCCTAGCTGGGGTCAAATATTAGCAAAAGAAAGACATCATTGGCATGAGAAAGAGAAAGATGATTCCAAAATGTGGTTTAGCGATTATTATTATGAAACTCCAAGCATGTATTGATGATTATTTGATGAAAGACACAGTCTCTGTTGTAATTAGGGAAAATGTTACTCATGCCTAAGATAAAGTAATATTGCTGCCAAAAACTGGCAGAAAACTGGTAAAGCACGTTGAAGATACATGTACCATATTTTCCCAAAAAAACAAGATGGTTGCCAGTAGGCCATTTTTGATCTGATTATGGAACAAACTGAAATGAACATCTATATGTACGATGTATTTACCAAATATGAATGAAAATGGTCCACAAGTATTGGAGATATTATAGTCGTGTGGCCGAAAAGCAAAATAGCCGCCAGTTGGCCATCTTTGATCCAAATGTAAAACAAATTGTAATGGTCATGCATCATAACATGTATAATGTATGTACCCGAATTTGAACAAATGTACCAAGTCACCATATACAGAAGATATAATTCCTAGTAAATACAACGGAAAATTATTATCTCGTTATAAAATCACTTAATGTTTTGAAATTTTTATCAATAATATTTTATACCTTTTCAGCTAATATCAAGGAGCTAATTTTTAGAAGAAATGTATACAATTTTCGCTATACAAATTAATAATATTGCCAGACTTCTTACAAAAAATTTCATTCATACAACAGTTTTATTTTACTTTCTAACTGTCAATAGAGTAGAACTATTATTATTTAAAGTTTCAAGAAAGTGGCATTTAATTATAATTTGATTTAATCATTCGCACTGCATACATGCAAATCTTATCTATTTGTGTGTATATATAGTATGATAAGAACGAATTATCTTATTTCATATCACTGTCAACACAGTAAATCTACAAATCGATACCACACAACACAGATATACCGTACTGTTAAGTTGAGATATGTTATTAGCCCCACCATGGTACATAGACCGGTACATGTGGTATGTACTACACGTGGTTTCTGGACACGTGGTGGCAGCAAACATACTGTCCGTGTCAGGCAATAAGACGAATGAACGTTCACAAAATTTACTTACGTGGTAAATATGGGAGACATCTTCCGTCTAAACTTAATAAATAGGGTTGTTGGGTCAGCATGCTTTTCGGCTGTTTTCTGTGATAAAGAATCGTTCGTAACCACACTTACAGTGGTGGCCATGTTTTCATTCAAACGATTATTTTGCTGTCCTTTGAAACGAAAGTTTTGATTGGCTTTGATAATATACGGTGGTTTAAATAAGAAACTATCACAATTTTAACTTATTGAAGTAGTCAATTAACAAATGATTTTGAAAAGTCTGACACCAGCGTCATTAGCCCCTGGTAGTGCCGCGAATATCAAATCAAAACTCCAAAACGTTTCCAGTTTAGCCAATCAAAATCAATGTTTCATTCAGACTTCGGATCTCAGTTAACCAATCAGGTGATTGGACGATAACACCGGAAATAGTCGCTGGTAATTGTATATTCATAAACTGGGGAAACCCTTGGCGAAGTAGACACTGGCTGTGGCATTTCTTCGTTAATGTTTACACATATTTCCGATCCAGATCGCATAATCATTTATTTCTTCTAATAACTGCTGATGGGAACTTTATGATGGATCCGCCTGGCTTGCCTCCCGAGGTTATCTGGGAGTATCAGTTTCGTCTGATTTTAATCGGCGACTCGACCGTTGGAAAATCATCGCTTCTCAGACGATTTTGTGACGGTAAATTCGTTGAGTTTTCTGACCCGACAGTCGGAGTTGATTTCTTCGCAAGGCTGCTGGAAGTTTCCCCAGGAATACGGGTGAAGTTGCAGCTCTGGGACACAGCCGGACAGGAACGATTCAGGTACATTTTGTTTGTGATATTCGGTTCCGCCACAGTGATGGCGAATGAAAGAGGTTCGAATTTTAATAAACCGTATAACGCGTTAAGAGACAATTTCCAACGGGACATGACCATTATTAATATACATATTAATTATCTATGATAATTAATCACCCGTGAATACCGCACTTTAGAACAATAACGTCCAATATTAACGGCCAGTAAAAATCACATGATTGATCTGTCGTGTGCGCATGACAGCAGCAACACGTCAGCCAACAGTACAACGTTTGCATTATACTGTACACACATACCACTGGTCTTTTGTATCGAACTCTTTTCTTGTGAAAATTATCCCAAACAGTCGTTTTTAACTCCATGTAAGCATTCTGCCATAATATCCTTCTATATACATATGCGTTTACATGTATTAACTATTACTACGTGGAGGAACTGTGATGTTATACATTATTAATTAAATCAAAATTATGGCTTGCAACATATGTCAATCATAATGGTACTATCCACAAAAAACATTCTTTTCTTTTTTATAAAAAATCATAGATTTTAATGTATATTGAATCCAACTAGGCTAATCAGTGAGCGAAATACACAATGATATCATACGAAAATATTCCAATTTTTTTCCATTGGCCATATGAGAAACCTCTCGTTTCAGTTTGAATTGTGAAATTTTCAAATATTTGTAAAAATAGAGGGAATGGGTGTGTTGTTTTGATAGTAATATTGTCTATTATATCAAAATAATTTTAATTTATTCTTTTGATAAGCTGCTCGTATTATCAAAATGTCAGCATATATATAAATACTAGTTTGTGTGTAGGTAGAGGTTGTTTATAATAATGTTAATTTCACTCCATGTAAATAACAATTATGAAATTAGTATTTAATGTAATTTAGGTTTGTTCAGAATATTCAGCCTTTAACAAGTAAAAAAAAAAATCACTACAATAACTATGTTTGATTTGCTAAAATTGTAAATTCCAAATAACATAAATGAAACTGGATTTTTTTTTATTTTTTGAAAACAATAAGGAGAAAGTCAGTTCTGCAATTGATCATAAAAAAAAAGAATTGTAGGATGAACCCTCAGTGCTTTAAGATGATCACATAGTGCATTTAATTCAAATATGATTAGGGAGATTAACCCCCTGCTAGCACTTAGATAAACCAACACATGTTCACATCTGGAGAAAGTAGTATCTAATGTCATCATGAACCATTCTCTGAAAAACAGACTACGACATTTTTTGTAAGCATTGCCTTCTCCAATCATAAGCAAGATCACATACTGTTTTTTTATTAAGATTAACACCTCCCATTCCTATTACTTTATTGATCTTTGTGGTGCTCCGGCCTGTCTTGTATATACCGAGTAATACATTATACCCGTAACAGTTATTTAGCAGTCAACCTGCGTATAGTCCAATTTGTTCAACCACATGTTTGTATACATTTTATTTTTTTTATTTACATTCTAATTGCATTTTTGCTTGGCATTATAAATTGCAGTGTAAATTTGTACTGATGCTTTTTTTTCCCAAATTAACTTGAAAGTTGAGCTTTCTCAGTGATTTTCTGAAAAGGCGTTGTCTAACAATAAAAAGGGTCAGAATCTGATTGCATCAGATTTCCCGAGAGTGAGTTACGCCTATTGTTGTATCAACAAGGAGCATAATCTCAAATTATATGTCAATTTTTTGACATGTTTTCATCATATTAGGATTCATATCAATAACTTTTCATTCCATGTCACTAAGCAAAATCTTAAAATATGAATAAATAATTGCACCATAGAAACCAGTGTAAAAATTAACAATTTTGATCTTTTTCCATGAATTTCCTGTTCTTGTGTCACATAAATCATCCCATGACCCCAATTTTTTTTTTTACATCTTCAATATTCTGATGGTATGTACCATACATAATAAAAGTATGACATATAATTTTCAATTTAAGTTACACTTTCTTAAAATCTAACAAAAACAAATGTTTTTTTTTGCTTACTTGTGCCTGCCTTTATTGAAGATAAAAATGTGATTCACCTACGCCATAATGCATTGCAGTGCAGACTTTCTCTTGAGTAATATAAATACTGCACTAAATGTTAAAATTCTAAACTAAAAGAAAAAATAATTTTTGTTCATTCTAGTGTGCCCTATTCACACCAAGGTTATAATATATCTGATGCATATCATGACCATAGCAACATTATCAGACGCCATCTGTGATACAGTTTATTGGTTTCTCACGAAACCTTCAAATTCCTCAGCTGATTGACTTTAATACTTTCAGCTCTCAACTTTTATTATGTTCAAACATTTAAATGATGGGCTACTGTTAAGTTTAGTGATCAAAATTTCTTGACATTTACAGTATGGTTTTATTTTATGCTGTTGTTTAAACTTCTGGATAAAAATAAGCAAATGGAGAAGAAAATACACACAGATATGGTTCATAATTCAAAGAATAGTTATGTGTTTTTTTCTTCAGAATTTGAAACCATCCATCAGTGAATAATTTAGCAAAGGAAATTCATGTCTCAAAGCCCTATCCTTAACCTTTTGAGTGCCAGATATTTTTCCCGCCCAAATTCAGTGCAAATATTTTAACATTTTGTGAAATTTTCACTATATTTCATCATCATTTTGTGTTTAGTTTTTGATCAAAAGATTTGTCAATTGTTATCAACATTTCATGTGGGAAGGCGCAGACTACAAAATCATACGTGGACAATGGCGTTCCAAGGATTCCTATGGAAATTGTTATAAACATTTTTCGGAAAGTTTTTCTCCAAAAAAGAAACTGGTATACCACATTGGATAACATCAATAATTATGTAACTTTTTTGAGAAAAAAAATTCATTATTGTGATAAATTTTTCATCCCATCTAATTATGTTGTATGACAAAAAATAGTGAAAACCGTAAACCAAAATCGCTATAATCATGAATCGCAAGTTGCCATAAAATAAATCATAGACCACAAATTGCCATAATAGTAGACCATAAATGGCCATAACCATATACCCTATCAGCAGGCATTCTATACTATTACTGGGTATGTGTATGATTTAATCAAACTCACGTTTCGCATCGTGTTAGTGAGTCATTCAACATCCTTTGCATGATCCTAAAAATCACCACTGGATCATAGTCTCACCTGAAGCTGAAAAGTGATGAAACACAGTGATTAGTCTATTTTTAGAAATGATGTCACAAAAGGGAATTTTTTACTGTGTTTTTTCCTGTCATCGTTTTAATTATAGAAGCTTTACATGTATGCATTAGCAGTTTTTTTTTTTGCCGAAAATAAAAAAAAATGGAATTTACTATTATATACATGTAAACTCTTACTAATATCATGCAGTCAGACAGCCATGCAATTTGACCTATACTGCTGTGCTTTTATCACCTATAAATTCTTTTTCATATTCTTTGTATCAGTATGCACATATCAATTTATATATTGCAACACTACCCACTTGTGAAAACATATGTTAATTACTTAATTAACATATGTATACATTTGTTGTTGTTGCTTTTTTTTGGAATAACAGTAGGCAGGAAAAGTATTAGGAAAAGGTACAAATGTACCTTGTATTATGATTTTTAACCCGCCTACCTGTGCTGGAGCCAACATTCATGAAGTATGAGACCATGCCCTTTGACCTCTAGTTGCCGATAAACCTGCAGAGGGTGATTTACACTGTTGTGACAGCAAACAGAAATAAATTGCCCAAACTGAACTCATTTTTGTTATGTCTAATGAGTCTTTGCAGTTAGTGATATCTCAAGAACCATATGTTGATTTTTGATGAAACTTGATGCATAGATTCTCTGGGATAATTTGCAGATTTGATTACGTTTTGGTTTTAATCCATGCATAATAATTACCTAATTTGCATGATAATTAGCTAATTTTTACATGTTCCATGACTGTTCTTCTGATATCAAAAGAAACTTGGTACCTAGATGTCTAGAACAATGCGCAAACCTGATTAGTTTTGGGTGAAAACCATGCATATTAATTTCCTAATATGCATAATGATTAGTCAATTTTCAAGTACTAATCATAACATTTCAACAAAACTAGGTATATAGATGCTCTATGACTATGTAAAACTTAATTAATTTTGAACTAATGTGCATATTAAACTAATTTGCATAATGATTTATAAAAATAAATTTACAAATACATCTACCAACTTTGCAATCACTTTGCACAACTTTGCTATCGTTTTGCACAACTTTGCACGGTGTGTTAACAGCTTAAAGCCCACAACGTACCGACAGCATCAAAAACATGTACTTTGGAAATAAGAGGGAATTTGAAAACTTTCAATGAAATCAAAAATTACGAAAACTCCACGATTCGGTACTATAAATGATTGACATCACAGTAAGAAAAAATGCACGAACGTTGCCTTATGTATTTTCTGTGTGTGTGATGAACCAAACAAAAAAACAACAACAACAACAGCGTATTTACTCAGGAAGTCTCCCATGCAAGTACTACCCCTGCCCGATTGAGCTTTACATTAGATCTTAGTCGATTACCTAACCACACTGCTGTATGAGTAATTTACAATTGCGGTGTTCTATATGGCAATGATGTTTGACATTTCCAATGATATCACAAGTTCTAATCACATTTCAATAAAACTTGGTACATTGATAGTACATGTATGTGACAATGGGCAGGCCTTATTAGTTTTACATTAAAATCTGTCCATATTAATTACCTGATTTGCATAGTAATTAGTCAGTTTTCAGCTTTTCAATCAATATCTCACTTACTTATCATATTCTTTGAATGAATCTTGATACATAAATACTCCAAGACAATGAAACGATCTAACTACATTTGTAGTTTGGGTTTGAAATCTGTCTAATTGCCGAATTTGCACGATGTGTATAATCATCATATTTTATTTAACTTATTATTAGTCAATTTCTGATATCTCAACAAGTCAGATTTAAATTAAACTTGCGGCAGACGTGCTCTGGAATAAATTAGACTGAAAATCACAGATGTAAAATCAAAAGTATTTTCTGTTGTAAATGTACATCTCAAATACATGTAGTTGCCAAGCATCTTATTTGAAAGACTAATTCATTTTTAATATGTCTTCTGTAATACTCTCAGCACACAGAAGTTCTTATAAGCTTTCTTTGATTTTATTTATAGTCAAGTGATTTGATATTAATATTCATACATAGTCGGTTATAGCCTATAAGCTAAACATGGCTGTTTGGAAAAAAATAGTAACTGTATTAACTTACCAGGGTCTGATATTTGTTGACCAAGGCCACAGGTACATAAATTTGGGCGATTATTTGTATGACTAAATTTGATTTGTTTCTTCATTTTCACAAATTCTATAGACATGCAAAACAAAAAGTAGATATGCAAATTACATACAAAGTAGATGACACACTGACCTTTTATCTGATACGGACTGGTGTCATTGTCAGTGGACACATGCAGTGTAGAAAGATCGCACAAGTTTAACCTTATCACCACAAGTTCTTCTTTTCATCACAAATTCACAAAATAGTACCATTTAAAGTCTTTACTTTGATTCAGAAGAATAGAGCAAAAATAGCCAATTTATTTGAGTAAAAACTGAATATTTACTCATTGTGTCTTTTGGCTTCAAACTTAGGGTTTATATCCAGAAATATTGAAGAATACAAGAAAAAAAAACGGTATATAGGTATTTATATTTTAAAAGCATATACCATTTTTTGAATCTTTCCAAAAAATAGTACCGGTATATGCTTTTAAAATATACCCGGTAAATATCCATATACCTGGTGGTAAAATATTAATGTACTTTAATATTCATGTTGCTATGCTTATTAGTATTTAAATACATCTCCATATCTAATAACTGTAGAAATGATAATATACATATCTGGGATTTAAATCGAAGTGAATTATTCACTTTATTTTTATTGATTTCATTCTTCACTAATCTCAACTGTGGCAGTTGAATCAAGCATTAATGCAAGTAGAATTTGATTTGTTGAAGGAACCTATCAACTTACATGTACAAGCTGCCTTCTGATTGGCTTGACTGTTAGAGTTGTGTAGCCAATCAGGAACAATCTTGACAATCTTTAAATTACCTCTGTTCTGTATCAGATCAGACAAAGTTCTGTCATATGTTTCCTCCTTGTGATTTTTAATGCATATTTTTTTTCCAATTTCAGATCAATCACAACTTCTTATTATAGGAATTCCGTTGGTGGAATGCTCGTCTATGACATTGGAAACCGAGCAAGTTTTGAGCATTTACAAGACTGGTTGGAAGAGGCATTCGAAAATGTCAATCCGGATAAAATCGTCTTCATGGTCATAGGACATAAAGCCGACATAGAGGACCAACGTCAAGTGCTACGTGAGGAAGGCGAAAAATTCGCCCAAGCTTACGGCATGAAATACATGGAAACCTCCGCAAAGACTTGTCAGAACGTGGAAGAGGCATTCAAAAGCATTAGTCATGACATTTATACTATGGTAAAAAGCGGCCAACTTGCGGTGCGCGAAGGATGGGACGGGGTAAAAAGCGGGTTTTTTCCCCGGCATACACTGCATCTGCAGGAGCCACGAGGAGAGCCGCATAAAGTTTGTTGTTGATGTATTCTCAAGTATTCCATTACTTCTCTGAAACTTATTTCTCCTGGTTATCAATCAGTTCTTCGTTTTGTATGTAAACGTAATATTTTGATTTCTATATGGCAAATCGCTTGTTTCAAATTTTGGAAAGGTTTATAAATCTCAAAAAAAAAAAATCATAGAATGGGAGGAGCTTAGTCATATCAATGTTAAACTTAAAAATGATTGACAACTATATATATATATATATATTCAAGTTGCTTAGTTGTCCGCTATTATTTCTGATACCCCTAAAAATCACCAACATTCGCCCGTAACCATATCAACATGCATATTGTACAGGTTTTTTGTGTTGTATTTATTTTGAAACAGATGCAGGTAATTTCCCTCACTCTAGTCTACATGAGTCCAGATGACATTTAGTTCATTAAAAATGGATTAATTAAAATAGGCATATTAATAAATTGAGGTCACATTCTTAAATGCTTCATTCTAATTGGTCCATGTGACAAAGAAAGTAATTATGTATTTGTGATTTAATATCTGGAGTACAACCGAAAAAAGTCATTCACGGATAAATAGTTGAGATGGAAACAAGGAATATATGAACAGCATGATTAACATACGTTTCCTGGAAGGTCAATTAAATTCAGTATATTTATTTCTGTATACTAGTAGTACATTTAACAAGATCGTCATGTTGTTTTTTGTTCATTATTTGTGTGGTATTCTTGGCTGAACAGTGGTTTAGTGTAATATTATTAGTAACAGTATATTGGGGGTGCCTGGATCTAATCCTGTTTGTGATCAAATTTGTACTGGTACAATGTCCGTAGTATTGAGGGGCAATGACACCCTCCACCCCTCCTCAGTGAGTAAAGGATAGTGTATAAGCTCAGAATATGTAGAGGGAAATGAACTTTGACCATATAAAATACAGAATTTTTTTATTCTTTTTTGATTATAATACATAATGTATTTTGAAGCTTAAAAAACATTTCTTGTATGCTCAAAAATATAAGTACACTTTTAGAGGTGTGTTTAATTTAAATTTACATGCAGGTCTCATATTGGCAGTACAGGAATTCATTCTCACTCAAATATCAGTCTAAATAAAAGCAATCTTTCTGATTGCAATTGAATTGTAGCCATTTTTGTTGTGAAATGGAAAACTACCATATTTTCTCCATTACCGTACAAGCTCATTTTCAATAAAAGTGCACCAAAACCAAATATTATTGTTACAGTACGACTATTTATGACCAAAGGCATATTTCTGTGATTTGATTATATATATAAAAGTCAAAAAATAATAAAAATAGCTTGAACAAGTAACGTATTTCAGGAGTTGTTTCCTAACTGCTGAATTATGGCTCCAATGTTTACCAGTATTGTAAACGAGAATGTATAATTTTTAATTGATTATTTGGTTTATTATTTTTTCGTTCAGCGAAAATAGATACAAAATGAACATAGTCTTGTACAGGAGGGTCATTTATAGGATAGGTACATACATCATCCTGGAAGTTGCCTGCCCTTTATTATTTGTAATCATATATATTTTTAAGTTAAAGACAGGATTTATTGCTCTGTACAGCGAGTCAAAGTTGAGGACGTCGGTGTACCATGGCTATAGTACTATGTGCAGTTAGTTTGATTCTTAGTAATTAGATTTTTATGTGAAAATAATTTGGCAAGTGGTTTTAGCGTTCTATGTGTTTAGTTGTATATGTCGTCAATTTGTTGTTTTATTTCATACTGCAGTATTATTTTAGCAGTTGTGGAAGAAACCTGAAGATAGAACGTATTGAATATATTTAGTATTTACAAGTCATGATATGTTGTGTAGTACATTAAGTTGTCTTTGTGTGGCTGCGCTTGTGAGTGGGGTTAAAACTAGAGAATATACCTGAAAACTTCGAGTTCAAGATTTTGATTGGCTACCCAACCTTAACACATAACAGTCAGACGAATCAAAGAGCAGCTTGCTTGTTGATAGGTTTTTGACGTATCAAATGCTGCCTTGTGTATATGCTTTGACTCAATTAAAAGCTTTCTATTTCTTGTATCATAAAGATTTTAAAATGGGGAAATGAGACAATTGTTTTTTTTTTACCCATGGTTGTTTATTTGATCAATACAGTTTTATGAAGGCCTTTGAAATTCTTTATATTTGCGAATAGATTACTTATTGCTATACATATATGATTAACTTATTATTTTAGACTAATTATAAAGTTAATACCTGGGATTCTATGGGGAAACGTAAAACAAGGCCATTCCATTAGAAAATTGCGTTGAACTTGCTGATTGAATGTGAACCCACATTTCCATTCTCGCTGTTGTTGACTTGGGGGAAATCAAATTTCGCAACTAGTTTTGTGGCCAAAAGATCTCGCTGAATGGGAATTGTAACGATTTGATAGTATAGCAGCTTTCATGATATCTTATGGCTTTCATGGTATATTATATTTTTAGTATTTTTTTTAAATGTAAAACTAGGCCAGTTTCTGTACTCTTTCAGAAACATGTGCAATATACTTGCATGTTGAAAATGTGAACTGCAGAGGGCACTTTTTATTTATGAATACTGTTCTCATGCAGCTTTCTGTAATGAACATTCAACATGATACGCAAATTGTTCTCAGACAAATGAGAAACCTTGAAAAGGGAAGCTGTCCTTCTTAGGGATTGCACCAAGGAATTATGGGAAACCAAAGTTTATGTGTTTTCACTGTTACATTGTTTACACTGTTGAACATTTTTTTGTTTTCCATTTTAATTTTAATCCAGTACGGAAATAGTCAGTAAATTTGCTCTGAGATTAGGATTAATTTAAGGTGTTCCTCTAAAATAGTGATTTTCGTCTTGACGGCATGCATTTATGGGTCCCATAATACATGTATCTATTGCAGTGTACATGCATGTTGGTCAAATTCCATTTGCTAGGGTTATCAATTGTGATTACACATACCATTGTGATACCCATACAGTGAAGTAAGGCGATCTGTGATTGGATGGGTGTTTACATGTTAGGGTCAGATAGCCAATTGGGCCACTCCTTTTATATTGCTCGACAGATATACCTGGTGGGTTAACAAACATGCCTTAAACTGCCAACTTTATGCAAAAAAATAATTTGGGCTTTATCACTTACTGGTGCGTTTTTGAGTTTGTGTTATGTTTTGAAAAATGTTTGAATCTCATACTTGTCAGTCTGATCATACTCCCAAGATGGAATCTAGCTTTCTTGTATTCTTTTTTTTTATTTGTCATATTTATTTGTCTTTTTTTTTTACTGTCCGCATTTATGACACCTGACACCACATAAAATATGGCAATTAAAAAATAATGAAAATGAAAAAAATTAAATACTTGAGCCTGTAACTACATGTACCGTATTTTCTCTATTAGAAGCGCATTCTCAATAGATATGCATATCAACCAAAAATTGCATTTGTGAGTCATTGAAATATTTTTTTTTTCAGACCATAGAAAAACATGATATAGAACTAGGAAAAAAAATAAATCAGTCATCATTCATTGTTTGCCATAGTTATCAGTCAATCACAGTCACGCGCTGATCGTGGGGGAAAAATTATTAGCAGCCATTTCGAATATTATTGTAGATTGGGTAACCAGTGCATTGGTTGTCGGGGTAACAGCATTAAAACTGTAAATCTGAAATTAAATTGCTGAAAATATGAAAACTGCAGTGGAGACATGCCGTGTTTACAAACACATATCTTTGTCAACAAACTTGGGTTAATTATGAATTAAAGTAGTAGACATTGTCATGTTGTACTTTTGAGTGAAGGATATTTCAAATCCAATATGGTTATTTATATTTCTGTATTTGGAGACATTAAATTGTATTTTTGTTTTGTTTTTATGGCTTGTTATGATTTTAGGAATAATGTTTTGGTGATTTGTTGTACAGCCCACTTAACTGAAGTTATTTGTTTTTTTGTAATCTTTACTGACTGTTATAATAATTTTACAATTTACTGTCAAAAGTGCTTCCATTTGCAATCAGTTTGTGGTTACTGGTATTTATTGGTTGCCTAGTTATGTTTGTTTCCATGTACAGAACAGTTTTTGACACTTATTTTAATGCTGTTGATTTTGTGGTAGTTTATGTTGTCTTTTTTGTAGCGGAATATCTAGAAACTTGGAACTACTCTAAAACCATCAGAACAAACAGAGCAAATATTCATGTTTTCAGTCCCCATATGTGTTAATCACAGCTTTTTTTCAGAATTTAAAAAAAAAATTAAAAAAAATAAAATCACAAATTTGAAGAAACTCACAAAATAAAGTTGGTCACGCTTGGATTTTAGAAAACAAAATGACAAGAGTTTTTAACCTGTCAACCCTTTAATTTGATATTTTTGTTTCATGTGTTTAGACTGTGTTTCATTTATGGAAAACTATAAGAATGTAATAATAATAATAATAATAACATATTCAAATTTTTTTTATTTCATTCCAAATATTTCTTTAATGCATGTGATATATATTTATTTTTAACTCATTTTATTCCAAATGTATGATTTGATTCAAAAGCAGCACAATCGTCAGAACTGTGCATATTCTGCAGTACATTCTATAATAATTCTTCTGATCTCTGGTTGGAAAGAATACATGCTATGTGTCATAAAAAATCTCTCAATTTTGACAATTCTTTTAAATTGGCTTTTAGAAGATCTCTGAAAAATTGGCCACTATCATTCAGTTTTCTGTTAGGCCATATGTACTGTTCTGGCAGTGTCGATTTTATGCAGTAGTTTAAAAAAAAAAAGTGTAAACGATACTTGTTATCCAGACTCACAATATTGTTAATCATCAAGGGTTGATAACATGATAAGGGTTTGAACTTCCACTGTGATATAGATCCTGTCTTGATTGAATTCACGCTTGTGAAATGACGCATCATCACTGTCATGTTAGTTATTCAACAGGATTCTATTACTAGTACATGGGGGAACAGACCACAGCCCTTGTAAATTTACCCCTGATTGTTGCTTTTTTTACATGCTAGATTACAGCTCCATGCATCTTATTTATTGTTAAATACGGGTGCATAGTAAGCTACCGTAAAGCTTAAATTTCACCCAGGGTGCTCTATATACAGCAATGGTACATATTATACCATACTTACATATTATTGAAGACTAATACCGT